ACGGACAATTGAGTCAAGAACGACCGTAAGTAAGTGCGTGAATCATTGTGAATTATAGCGTGTGTTTAAAGTGACTGTGGAAATTAAGTGTATTGCAAAGTTGTATTGAGAAAGGATAAACTAGTTTTATTTAAGAAAGGACTTGTATCGCTGAAGTTCTTTGGAAAGAAATTATACGGGAAATTAACTAACGACCAGAGACGTAACAAATTGGTGTCAGAGAGTGGTATGAAAAAAAAAGAAGAAGATGGAAACGGGCAAATCAAACTACAGCTTAGCAGATTTGATGGCAGCAATACAAGAACAGCAAAAGAAACAAGAAGAACGAGAAAATAAACAAGAAGAGAGATTACAGAAGTGGTTGGAGGAAAAAAAAGAAACAAGAAGAGAGACAACAGCAGCTGCAAGAAACCTACAACAGTGGCAGCTGGAACAGCAAAATAAAGAAGAGAGATTACAGCAGTTGTTGGAGGGAAAAGAAATGAAACAAGAAGAGAGATTACAACAGCTGTTGGAGGAGAAAGAAAATAACAAGAAAAGAGACTACAGCAGTGGTTGGAGGAGAAAGAAAATGAACAAAAAGAGAGACTACAGCAGTGGATGGAAGAGAAAGAAAATAAACAAGAAGAAAGTCTCCAACAATTGAGAGAAAGCCAGAGTACACAAATGGAAAACAATAGTAAATTTCAAAGCGAATTAAATACATTAACCAATGATTTACTGTCTTTTACACAAGGAGGATACATTAACCATCGACTTAATCAGCCCCAGACAACGGGAAACCCCTTCCAGACCCCGCAGCTAAACCCTAATGCAGACATCTTCAGTCCTGTCAGAAGTCATGTTCCAGACATGAGTGTCAGCAATAGGGGTGATCTAGTACGAAGGAAGCCACAGGAATTCGATGGAAATGCACCATGGGAAGCATATAGAGCACAATTTGAGCTACTGGCAGAAATGAATGGATGGACAGAGGAGTAGAAAGCAGTATATCTGGCAACGAGCTTGAAGGGACAACCACTGGAAATACTTGGACAGTTGACAGCAGCCGACAGACACAATTATAGAGCACTGATAGCTGCTCTAGAACTCAGGTATGGAACCCAAAATCAGTTCGAGATCTACAGGGCTAGGTTTAGGACGAGAGTCCGTGCTAAAGAGGAGAGCCTGCAAGAGCTAGCACAGGACTTCGAAAGTATGGCACACAAGGCCTACCCAACTGCACCACCTGATATCATCAAGCTGTTGCTAAGAGATCAGTTTGTAGATGCCTTGGACAGTCCACAACTGAAGGTACAAGTGAAGCAAGCACATCCATATACTATACAAAATGCAGTGGCCAGAGCTGTTGAATTCGAATCCTACGTTAAGTCCAGCACAGAGGTACCAAGGTTGGTACAATCATCAGGATTCAAGGCCAGAAAAGGTCAGCTTTCAGAGATTTTTGAGGGACTTTGCTGTTATTGTAACAAACCTGGGCACAAGAAAGCTCAATGCTGGAAACTTCAACACAGTGAAGATGCCACAGCAGGAAAGGCTGCTACCCAAAGAGGTTGTTGGAACTGTGGAGAGTGATGACATATGAAGAGCCAGTCTAAGAAAAATACTACCAAAATGTCAGTTTCGGGAACCAGTAGTGGTTGGTGCTGAGAGACGCCCACCAACCCCATCGTGAAAGTCCCAACAGCTAAGTGTAAAATGGCAAGCACACGTAGTGCCTACGTGACAGGAAAGCTGGATGGCCAAAGGTGCAACTTTGTCAT